TAAATTAACAAAATTATAAAGATAGATATTACATACTGTATTTTTGTTATTTATTTATATATATTAAAAATATTAAAAAATTAATTAAACTCATAAATTTTTTTAATCGAATATTAAAATATTTAAATTCGATTCAATTAATATTTGATTTAATAATGAATAAATCAAACTCGAATATTCATAAAATCAAATTATAATATTTTACAGATATTTTGACTCGTTTTAAACCCCTAGTGATAAAACAAAAATAATGACATATGTAGTATGTATATAAATTATGGCTGAATATGGGTATCTATATTTGTTAATGTTACTTAAATTTCTATGTTAATATAGTTCTTGTTAGGAGTGTCTTAAATAATTTTATTTAATGTATTTTTCTCACAAAATTCATTAAGAGACAGTATATTAATAATAAAATATTAAAATATTTTCTATGAATATACTTATAGGTATATATAGGCATAAATTAATATTTTTTATTTTAAAATGCTTTTTATTATAAATATCAACTTTCGGTATTGTCAATACATACAAATGAACATTTTTCCATAAATGGTATAAATTGCTTTAAATACTTTTGTAGTAATTAATATGGGTGGAATCTAAGTGAGGGGAACTGCGGCTCCCATGAAGGAAGGTAGCTCGAATAATGAAGGGGGTAATAGTTCTGTGGCCTAGCTGTTGACAGCTGCCACAATTATGTTTTGCAATCCCTTACACTTTGTTGCCTTGACTATTTGGAGCAAACTACCACAAATTAATGTGAAAATTTTGTAGGAAGAAAAAATAATTTTTTATGAATTCATTAAATTTGATGTAAATAAATTTGTTGGATTGAATTAGGGAGAAGATATAATAGATGAAACTAAAAAATCCCTTATTATTAAAAAATATATGAATTTTGTTAATATTTTATTGAAAATCATATAGATTTCTTTTTGTTTGAAAAATATTTAATAGTTTTCAATAAATATGTAAATGATACATTAATACCCATAAATTATTCGGATTCGATTCGAATAAAACTCAAATTTAGTTTGATTATTATTAAATCAAGGTCGAGCTCAAATAGCTTGACTTATCAATCAAGTCAATTCGAGTATTTTTATACTCAACTTGAGTTATTCGTGAGTCTAATTAAGTCTTTATATTTTAATATATTTTAACTATTTTAATTGATAAAATATTTTGAATTCGAATTCGAGTTCGAATATAAATAATCAAGTTTTTGTCGAATATAAGAATTGAGTTTATTTTTACATGTTAATCGAACCTAATCGAACGAGCTCAAGTAGCTCGATTTCTATTTTCAGTCTAGCTCGAGTTAAAAAAATAAAACTCAATTGAGTTCGAGCTGAATTTTGAGTTTCAAATTTAGAGTCGAGCGCGAACTTAGTATTGCATTGACTCGAACTTGATCGATTATACCTGTAGTTTCCAATCAATAATTATGTTACAATTTTTTGGCTTATGAATGAATTAAATTTGTTGTTCTAAGTTACAAGGCATTTCATCTTACTATATCATTTGAAGAAACCTTATTTATTTCCACCAAATTTTAACACTAGGTTTCTTTAGTCTTAAAAGAAGGGAAAATCAGTGGAGCTTGGAAGGGTTATTTTCATCATGTTAAATAAATTCTTTCCCCTTTGTTTTGATGATTTTTTTTAAAAACAAAATTAAGTTCAGTTTTACATCATCAAAAAACATTCCTAATATGTTTTTCATGTTCCCAATATGTTAGCTACTTTCATGTTAAATGAACAACCTTAAAAAAGTACTACTAATATGTCTATCTACTAAGTTTTGAAATTAATTTAAGAAAAAAACTTTAATTAATTAGGTTTGAAGTTAGTGTTAATTAAATTCAAAATGTAATTCAGTTAATTAATATAAAAAGTGGCATTTAGTAAGTATGAGATTTAAGATCAATTGAATCCAAAATTTAATTTAATTAATTAATATAAACAATAATATTTAATAAGTAAGAGATTCAAATCCAAATATATATAACCTTTTTTTTCATTTAGAGGTTTAAATGAATATTGTTGGATTAGCACAACCCATTTAAATATTAGTCCATGTGTTAATGGATCATGCTAGCCTAGCATTATTTTTTAATATGTCATGCTAATACAGTTCAATAAAATTAAGGTTAAGGCCCAACATGGCATTATTTTTTGTGTCAAGATGTGCCAAACACAATCTATTAATATTTTTTAAATTTTAATTATTTTTTAAAGAAAATTGTCTATTATTAAAATAATATGCAGAGATAAATAAAATTTAAATGAAATAAAATGACATATAATTTATGTGATTGGACAAAATGCTTACATTCATGGAAATGGGTAGTGAAACTCACTAAATAAAAATTTTGAAATGACAATCCTAATATTTCAAAAATCACACATATACATTTAAAAAAAAAATTATAAAACACATATTATTATTCTATTTTTCATTCTCAACATTGATGATTCTCTTTTATAATGTGTAGTCTTATGTATTTATTTTATACTTTTCATCCTATAATAATTTACTTTATTAATTAAATTTGTACTTAACTTGAAGTCTTAATTTATTTTTATCATTTTATTATTGCTAATCACTAGTTAAATATAATTTATCTATTAATAATTTAAATATTTCATAACTAATTTTAATATAATTTTATTTTTTAAATTATCAACAAAATATAAAAAATAAATATAATTTCATTGTAATATAAAAAATAATACAACTCAACTCAAAGGATATAAACCCTCATATAACAATTATAGATTAATATAGTACGATTGCACTTGTGCGTCGTTTCAATTCATGGGTCTAAAATTTTTTAGCTCATTACATCACACATATATAGTGCTTGACACACAATTCGATTACTTAACAACAAACCTAATGAAATGGTCGTGTCATAAGCTACCCAACGCATTCTTTTATCTCAAGATTACAATCTTTATATATATATATATATATATATATATATATATATTTATTTATTTATATATATATAAAAGCATGAATCACTTACCCAATTATTCAAATTTGTTTACCTTTGTTTAAAGCAATGATACCTTTACTTTAGAATGCGAAACCTTACCATTTGCCAGCTCCTAATCACCAAATCATAAAAAAAACCAAACTAAGAAACCCCAAAACAAAAAGTTAATAAAAGTAAAAAATAAACTAAACTAAAAAATTAGAAGTAATTTAAAGTAGCATAAAATATTTTTATTTTCAAAAACAAAAAAAAAGCATAACTTAATTTAATTAATTTTAATTCCATAAGTGAGATTAAAATAATAATATATTAGAAAAATTACCTGGTCATGCTGGGGTTGTAAAATTTTTTTATTTAAATTATTTTTAAGTATTTTCTTGGTTTTTTATTTTTAAAAAATATAATCTTTTAAAAAAAATAAAAATCTGATACTCTAATTGTGCCATTCAATTACAATTGAATAAATGTTGGCTTTTAGTTTAAATAAGGATGACTATTTTAAAAAATTATATAGATTAAATCTAAATTCAATAATATATATGATAATCTAACCTACTGAAATAATATTTATTTATTATCAATATTAATTAATTATCAAATTTAAACCCATTTGCCTATGAAATCAAAGGCCACTAATATTATCACTCATTCAACTTAATTTTTTAAAGGAAAAAACCAATAATTTTATTATGGTAGGAAGGGAATTATAATAATTTTTGTCAATAATAAGTGAATGATATTTTTGTAATTATGGTTAGAAAGATAATGTAGTAACTTTTATTAATTATGATATTGAGGTATTTTAATAATTATAATAAAAAATATTATAATAATTTAAGTTAATTATAAGAGGGATATTATAATAAATTTGGACACGTGCATTTAATCGTCAAGTAATTGAAAAAGTATTATGATTATTTACAATGAAATTTTGGTTGATTAGGAAATAAAAAAGGCAATGTATTAAATTTTTACACGTGTCAAGCACTAAGCAAATAATTAGAAGGGCATAATTATCATTTTTAAATGCGTTTATTTTCATTATATAGTTATAAATTTTCAAATAAAATGACATGTCAATTTTTTTATGAACTAATTATAAGGATATTTTTGTAATTATGATAAAAGATATTATAATAATTTTAATCAATTTTGATGAAAGGGTATTTTTATAATTATGATAAAAATATACTATAATATTTTTTGTCAATCATAATATTAGGTAATTTTCATAATTATAATTGGAGAGATATTATAGTAATTTTAACCTAATATGATATGTAATGTATTTTCGTAATTAATGATATTATAATAATTTTATATTTGTAAAAGTAGTATTTCTGTCATTTTAAGAATAAATGACACTATAGTAATTTGATATTTATAAAAAAAATATTTTCGTCATTTAAGAAATGAAGTATAGTAAATTACACTCAAAAGAGGAGTATTTTTGTCAATTACATAGGAGGGCATTATCATCTTTTTAGACACATGTCAAGCAATTAATAAAAAAGTAAAAAGGTAAATTTGTCATTTCAATGATAGATTATTTTTATATATAATTATAGATATATGTGTATTTAAAAAAAAATAAAACATATCTCATCATTTTAATTTTTTTATAAAATAAAAACATCAATTATTAATATATCAAATAATTTTTTATTCAAAAGATAATATATTATTTTATTAAATTTATTTATAAAATTAAAAAATTTCACTAACCAAATATCAAATAATTTATCTAAATTAATTCCCTGCTAGCATGTAAAAAAACTCCAATTTCCTCATTTCACACTTCTGCCCTTTCCTTCACTCCTCAAAGCCTACCCTTTTCTCTCCACTCACTCTCAGAAACCAAACCTTTCTCTGTCTAAAATTTGTTTAACATTTTCTCATTTTCTCTCCCTCTAAAAAACCAAAACAATTTCACTGTCACTATAAAATTTTCATATAAACGTATATAGGAGGTTGTACATTGTAAGGCTAAATGGAGGCGGGGGACTTCGTCGGAGGATATTACGGAGGCGCAGCAGCCGTTTATTTCTCGCCCGAGAAAAGGATGTCCGCCCACCAAAAGCTCGCTGAGAATTTCACCGTCGACGACCTCCTCGACTTCTCCACTAAAGACTCCATTATCAGCGACGGCCTCTTCGACAATGTCGCCGGCAATTCCACCTATTCCTCCACCGTCACCAGAAATTCCTCAGTTTCCGGAGGCGATAACCACTTATCTTCCGCCATATTCCCACACTCGTCTCCGTTCTCCAGCGAACTCTGCGACCCGGTAATGAACAAAAAATTCTCCTGTTAGTTTTTCCTATTTTTGCATGGTAAAATTATCTTTTACGTGAAACTAACGTACTTAATTATGTTAAAATGGATAAAATACTCTTTCTTCTAAACCAATTGAATAATTTTTTTGGGATAAATGAACCAATTGAATAATTATTAAATCAAAATTCCTATTTTTTCACGTAAATATAAAATTGATATGTGGAAATTAAATTTGCTTTTTCTTGGGTTACAGTATGATGAATTGGCGGAACTTGAATGGCTCTCAAATTTCGTTGATGGCTTATTCTCGACAGACCAGAATATAGAGAGCAACCTCCAAAATTTCGCCATGTCAAAATCATCCACACCCGAATCCTCCTCTTCATCAACCCGACCCGATTCCTCACTCTGGAGCCCAACCAACCCAATTTTCCAACACGACACTTCGCTCCCGGGGAAGGCCCGCTCTAAGCGTTCGCGGGCCGCACCTTGCGCTTGGTCAACCCGACTCCTCCACCTCACCCCGAAATCCACGGGCCAGAAGAAAAGAGAGAAGATGAACGCCAATTCGGAGTCGTCGGGTCGAAAATGTTTGCATTGTGCGGCGGAGAAGACTCCGCAGTGGAGGACCGGACCGATGGGTCCGAAAACGCTTTGTAATGCGTGTGGGGTGAGGTACAAGTCTGGTCGGTTGGTACCCGAATACCGACCCGCTGCGAGTCCGACATTCGTGTCGACGAAGCATTCAAATTCGCATAGGAAAGTTTTGGAGCTTAGGAGGCAACAGGAGTTGCAAAGAGCACAGCATCAACAGTTTCTTAGTCAAACTTCGATTTTCGGCATATCCAACGGTAGTGGTGTTAATGATTTCTTGATCCATCCTCATGTTTGGTTCCAATTTTAGGCACATGATTTAGTTAGAATTTGAATGAAAGGAGAGGAAAAACAGAGGAGCTAAACAAAGTACTGTAGCCATTTCCTAGGCTTTGGACTTAAGAAAAAAAAATGAATTTTGTAGTTTTATTTCGCACCCAAAAAAGCAAAAGGAAAAAAAAAATGTAATCCTAATTGATTTTCGCCCAATTGGCAGATTTTAGATTTGATTTTTATTTTCATAAGTGCTATTACTAGATTTTTTTCAATTGTTTTCTTATTATATCAAGAAAAAGACAAGTTAATACAGATTAATTGAATGGATAATGATAAAATATTTTATTTGTGTTTTCAGTTTCTTAATCTAATAGTCAAGAAAATCTTAAGAAGACACAAGATTGAGATTCAATCCTAGCCTCTTTTCTTCCTTATTGTAGGGTTTTGCCCTCTTTTAAAACAAAAAAAAATATTTTATTTGTGAAGTTTAGGTTTAATTTTTTTTATTAATAATCTTCCTTAATAAACAATTTATAAATCTAATATAAAGAACTGTGGCATGTTCTGATTTTAAAATATAATAATTTCCTTTCCCCTAAGTTTTTATATATTAAAAAAAGAAAAAAAAATCTTAAGTTGGATGGGTAGATGAGGAATAATAGTGAAGCAAATGGGTGCAAACACTTTTGTGGAGCCAACGGGTCGGAAAAAAGATGTTGTGTCCAAATGCATTTACACATGAGAACGGAATGGTTGGCCAAGTTATTTTTGGTTGAAGGATTAAATAATTTTCTGAATTATAATTAAAAGATAATCAAAGTCTTATTTTATTATTGAAATCAATCAATCAATATCTTCAATTTTTATTTGTATTCAATGAAATCTTTATTTTGATGAAAAAAATTAATATTATTAATATTTTGTCAATTAAAATAAAATTTCATATGATATTAATAAAATAAATTAAAATTTTTTATATGACACAATTAATATATGTAAAAATTAAATAAAATTTACTTTTCACCTTGTTTTTTCTTTATTTTCTCTTTTTTTTATCGCTATAAGATCCATTTACAATTGATTATAGTTTAAAAATTGATTGATTAAATTTTATTACATAATTAAATTCTGTCCATTTAATCGTTTAAGTGAATTCAAATATAAGATTGAAAGTTTGATTAATTGTAATAAAATATTAAGAATTTAAGTTATTATTAAATTATAATTCAGAGGTATTTTTAACCCTTCTGCCTTATTTTTTTCATTAACCCAATCTTTTTTTTTTGCTTTAGCCCTTTCATCCTTTTATTCGTAGGTTAAAAATTCAAATTCATTTGGTTGCTTAATAATTCAACAAAGAGATAGAAGACAACTGAAAAAGGCTTATAATAAGCATAACCACATAACTTCCCTTTTGTGGTTTTACTTATAAATTATAATTGATAGGAATTAGGATCCTTTTAATGCTAGAAATGCATTCGTATATATAGGAAGTTAAGTAACTTACGCAAATTCGAAAGAAAAGAAAAAGCCATTTTAGGTTGACACGGTACAAAAGTAAGGTGAGATTTGAAGAAAATTATGAAATTCGAGTTCGCAACATGTATATACTTTGTTCGTCAATCAAAATCAAATTCAGAATAAACAATTTCTACCATACCGATTATATAACAAGGAATGAGGATGCTTTTTAAATTATTTTATTAATTTATGGAATACTAAAGTAAAGTCAATTATATTTTTAATGATTAACAGTAGATCATAAAATTGACCTATTAGAAAATATAGGTTTAAATTATAATATTGATTAAACTTTTATGTTAAACATTCATTATTATCATTTCAAATTTGATATTAAAACTTACAAACGTTAACTACATATTTTACATAAGTCCACTAGGAATGATTTAGTTGATGGAATAAAATATCTATTGATATCCAAAAATTAAATTTTAACCCTTCCATCCTGTTGTTCTTCATACCGGAATCTACATGGAATATACATTTCCAAGTTTCAATTTTTTTTTTTACCAAAGGGGAGCCAGAAAGCTTTCAAGATGTACAGGCTACTCCGGATAGAGAGCACTGGTTAAAAGTAATGAAAGAAGAGATGGAGTCATTGCGAAAGAATGGTACTTATGATCTTGTTAAACTTCCAACAGAAGAGGCCATTAAAGAATAAATGTGTTCAAGTTGAAAAAAGATGGTGACAAACTAGTGAGTACAAAGCTCGATTGGTAGTAAAAAGTTTTTCTCAGAAATCAGGCATCGATTTTGATGAGATTTTTGCTTCAGTTGTAAAAATGAGTTCTATTCGAGTGTACTAGGATTGGTAGCTAGTATTTGAATCTTGAACTTGAGCACTTGATGTTAAAAATGCTTTTTTGCATGGTGATTTACAGGAGAATATTTATATGAATCAGCCTGAGGGTTTTGAAGTGAAAGGAAAGAGCACTTAATTTGCAATTTGAAGAAAAGCTTGTATGGCTTGAAACAAGCTCCACGACAGTGGTACAAGAAGTTTGATTCTTTTATGGTGAGTCATAACTATAAAAGAACAGCAACGGATTCTTGTGTGTATGTTAAACAATTTTCTAATAGTAACTTCATTATCCTATTATTATATGTGATGATATGTTGGATTGTAGGCAAGATGCTAGTATGGTTTGCAGGTTGAAAGAACAATTGTCTAAGTCCTTTGATATGAAGGATTTAGGTCCAGCAAAACAGATTTTTGGTATGGACATATATCCGGATAGGAGAGCTGGAAACCTGTGGTTATCACAGGAAAAGTATGTTGAAAGAGTGCTTGGTAGATTCAACATGCAACATGCTAAATCAGTTAGCAGTTCACTTGCCAAACCATTTTTCATCTAAGTAAGAAAATCTTGTCCAGTGTTTAAGGAAGAGCAACTAGCTATTCTAGTATTCCTTATTCTTCTGCAGTCGGTTCTTTAATGTATCTTATGGTTTGTACAAGGCCTGACATTGCTCATGCAGTTAGTGTAGTGAGCAGATTTCTTCTAATCCAGGAAGGTTCACTAGGAAGCAGTGAAATGGATTTTTAGATATTTGAGGGGTACCTAAAAAATGTGCTTGACTTATGGAGTTTCACAACCAGTTCTAGAAGGGTTTACTGATGCTGACATGGCAGACGATCTTGATGGTAAAAAAATCTACTTCAGGGTATTTATTCACTTTTGCAGGAGGAGCTGTATCTTGGCAGTCTTAAGTACAGAAGTGTGTTGCTTTGTCAACTACAGAAGCTGAGTATATTACAGCAACTGAAGCATGTAAGAAATGCTTTGGATGAAACGTTTTCTTTTTGAATTGGGGTTGAATCAGAAAGAGTATGTGATATTTTGTAATAGCTAGATGCTTTAGATTTGAGTAAGAATACCATGTACCATGCTAGAACAAAGCACATTGATGTTAGATATCATTGGTTACGTTCAGTGATTGAAGAACAGCAGATGTTATTGAAGAAAGTCTATACTGATAAGAATGTAGCAGATATGTTGACTAAGATACTTCTTAAGGAAAAGCTAAGCTACAGTAACTTGGTCGGAATGAGTTCCCTGGCCAAGGTAAGTTCCAAATGAAATTATTATGGTGTGAAATCTTCTTCTAATGGGACTGGAGGGGATATTGTTAGGAAAATGGGGTCCAGTCCCATGTAAGTGGTTTGGACCAAGTAAAGGCCATGTGCCTTGATCTTTTATTTATACAGAGCCCTAGCTACTTAATAAAAAAAGAGGTGGGGTTGTTTTAGGTGTGTGTCGAAAACCAAGCAAGAAAGAAGAAAAGCCAGAAAAAGCAGAGAGAGAAAAAAGAGAAGGGAGAGTTGGTTGAACGGAAGTCAATCCGCTAGTCCGATTGAGTTGGAACCTTGTCAGGAGGTTTATGATTCAGAGTTCTACATTCTGAACGGTGAAGATTGGGTTTGAAGCTCTCTAGGAACAAATCCAGGGTGTATTTGTTGAGTCACTTATTTGGTGAGATTTTTTCAATTGTTTCTCTAGTTGTTGATTAGCTCTAGTTTTAGCTAGAGAAGAACTTTGTATAACTATTATTTGATAGTGAAGATTTTTCTGGTGGCTCGTGGTTTTTTCCCTCTACACTGGAGGGTTTTCCACGTAATCTTGGTGTGCTTTATTTTTCCTGCGTATTGATTATTGATTGTTGTCTATTGCTTCTGTATTGTGTGATTATTGCTTCAGGCGCAACAATTTTGTATTGTGATGGTGAAGATGAAAAGACTAGGCGGTCAAGAACCAGGTTTAAGCTTGAATTTTTTGGGCTAAATCTTTATTATAACTAAATGTAACAAAATGAACTTAAAAATTAATACTCAGGATTGGTCAAGTGGTTTTTTATTTGTTTTAGGATTATTGAACAATAATTAAACAAATTAGCACAACCAACCTTTATACAAGTAAGAAGGCAAAAAATAGGCATGAGAAGTAATCACATTTTTCTCTAACCAATAAGAAATTAAGAAAATTTCCAAACAACTCTCATTTTGCTTAATCTCTCATTTTTCCAAACAAATCAGATACGGAATATTGATGCATTACCCATCTTGAAAACAACTTTGGTCATGTATATCTCAATTGAAAATGAATTAGCTGAAAAAGCCCTTTTTAGAGCCACGGGATTTGAATGAAAGACAGAGTTACAATCCAGTTTCAGCCTCAATTTCCTTTGCTACACATAATATTCACTCTTTTTCATGACAATCTATTTCAATTTTTTCAACAATGCCCGTGACAGCAGTAAACAGAAAGAAAAAAGAAAAAAAGCAAAGAAAATTAGTGTTTCTAATTGAGCTTGGCCAGGTATTTATAGGCAACTGTTTGCATGAAGGCAATATGAAAAAGTAGCAAGTGTGCCAAGTTGTTGGTAATGGGATGCTACTCCATTTCTGAGGTGAAGACTGCATTTGGGTTGCTACCGTACTGTTTTCCATGGCTGCTAATGTCTGTTGCTCCATTGAGATGGAGCCTAGAACATTGAAGCAAGGACAACTCAACCATGCTAGGGTAGTAATCTTTTTCAACTCCACCCCTTTCAGTATTTCTTCTGATTTTAATTTCAATCTTCTTACTCTTAACTCTTTTTTTTCCCATCATTTTGCTTACATATGATATTGGTCATCACTACATTAATTCTTCATACTTCGATCAAAACGGAATACCTTGTGTTAAGATGGAGATGACGAGATATTGGTGTTACAAAGATTCTTGCTTATGAGTAATCCATAAACAGAATTACATGATTTATTAGAAATTGGATTAACAAATCAAGGATGAATATGTTTACTAATAAGGCCCCAGTGGAGAATATTTGGCCCACAACTGGTGCTTCGATGTGAAAGGAATGCCTTCCATCGGATTGCACTGACCACTGACCTGTTTTGTCGAATGTGGCCTAAGTTTTTTTTTTTTTTTGGTACATAAGGGTTGCAGCCTGGGGATAAGGGAATCTTGCCTAAGTTCGGTGGTTCTTTCTAATTAAAAGCAAGTATAAACCAGTAGCGAGCTAATTATACACATCTTGTTAGTAGCCTGACCAATTTTCTTTTCACCCTTGTGTAGGAAATGGCTGCAGATGTAGCTCAAAAGATGAAAGAAGATGCTTCCGCCGTATTCATTGAGGTCTGCTTTCAGAAACATAGACAAATTGATTAAGGCTCTAACCCATGTCCCTAAAACCAAGTTTATATTAATTTTGAAAGATGTTTTTGAATTGGTTGTTCCAGGGATTGGGATTGGTATCAGCTGTTGAAATAAAGGAGGTGAATGACCTGACAAACGAATTAGAAAAGGAAGTTGGAGTTGAAAAGCATGTTGAATACTGCAACCAAAAGGCCCAAAATATTGTAGAAAGACCTTGCCAATGTTCTTGCGACATCAACAACATAGAATCCCCAGATCCCAACAACATTATTCTGAACAATGTTAAGGAGCCTGTTACTGCCCCTTTTTGATCAGCATGGATTTGCTTATTAGTAGTATTGGTTTTCTTTTGTAAATCACTACTATTTGTTGTGTTAATAATGGAGTTAATTATCGTAATGTAGATGTAATGTAATCAATAATATCAGGTCTCAGCCTGTCATTGGATTGGAATCTGGATCTATATTCATATGATTTTTTGATGCATTTTGGAACCCAAAGCAAAGTCTGGCCTGCTTTCTACTCTTAGCAAGAGGGAATAAGACTTTGCAAATAAACTCAAACTTGAAATTATCTTTAGATTTGAAGGTAAAAGTCTGGTGGAAAATTTAAAAGAGTTTAATATGGTCACGTATCCTTTCACGGCGTTGCATTGTCCCAAAAAGCGAATTCTATATTATCATGTCATATTCAATTTTAATAGCAGGAGTTTGCATATATATTTTACATGTTTTCATAATTTGAGGACAAAAAAAAAAAAAAAGGGTTCGGTTTTGAAAGATAGCATGGATGGAAGTGTTGTACTTGCAGACTCGTCAGTGCCATTAATCCAATAGATATAGGGAACCACCTGATGATGCCATGATGGACTCTTTTGTTTCTGAAAGTTAGTGTGATGTGGTTGCTAGTTAATAATATTGGGATGGCAGTTTTGTCAGCTAGGATAGATGGGGTAAGCATGCTCTTTTTTGTTGTTTGTGGTTTATGCTAGTCCTACAATGGAGGTTAGGCAAAATTTGTGGCATTATTTAGAGGAGTTTGTATCGGATATTTGTTTACTTTGGATCTTAACGGGTGATTTGTAACAATAATGACATGTTTTAGGTAAGTGATATATACGAGACGCTATCAGCTTTTCAATATGATCAGTTGTTGTGGATTAACTCATCTTGGTATTCAAGGCCCAGCATATACAATCATCTCAAATATGAAAAAGGGGTAGTTCGAACAAAAGTATCTCAAATGGAGCAACCTTAATGAACAAGAAAATGAAGGATGTTTACGTCATTTAGGCAGACTCAAACGGTAATCAAAACTCAAAATTTGAAATCGAAGGCTTCTAGATACACCATCAAAATTTTTTAATACATCTCATCAATTTTTTTTTAAAAATATTTACATAATAAATATCAAATCTATTCTTTAATAAATTACAATTTTATCTTTTTTTTTTACTTTCTCTTTTATCCTTCTTTTTCTTCTATCCAAGGAAATTTAATTTTTTTATAGTTTTAAAAATTTATTTTTGAGAATATAATATAATTTTTTAAAATTATGATATATTTTCAAAAAAAAAATTTTGAACTTTATGTTGTATTTTAAAAAATAAAGTTTCTTAAAAATAAATTTTTGAAAATCTTAAATATTTTTTGAAAATAGATTTTTGAAAACTTTAAAAACTTCTAGAAATGAAAATGTATTTTTAAAAACCTTAAAGATTTTTTAAAAATTAATTTTTGATAAGTTTGAATTTTACAAAAATCATTCGATAATTCTTAAGCTATTTTCACTTGCATTTAAATTACATCAAGTGAAATAAATCTCTAAATTTTACTTTTAATTAATGGATGATTAAAAAAATATATATAATTTTGAAGTTAATTTGATAGATTTAAGATCAATTTGATTTGAAATCGAAAAGAAATGAAAAAATGAAAAAAGATTTTGAAAATAGGAATGAAAAGTCAATTATTTAAAGATAAAATATATTTAGTAAAAATAAAAAATTTAAATTGTATTTAATAATAAAGCATATAAAGTAAAAATGAAAGTGTAAATAAACTTCCCTTTAAACTTTGAATTGAGGGCTCAGGGTTTCAAAATAAAATTGTTTACATTTCTTATCTTTCTTTACGTTTATTGAAAACAGCTCTGTTCTTCAGCTTTTCAGTTTGGAGGGAAAATCCCAACTTAGCTCGACTCGAGGTACTCTCTCTCTCTTTAGTTCTGTTTGTTTATTTATTTGTAATGTTAATGAAATGCTTTATTAAAGGAATTGAAATGCAAAAATTGTTTATGTGAAACATTTGTGAAAATTTGTTCAATAAACATTTTTGTTTGGTTTCCGAGAAAGAGAAATTGAAGAAAACGAAAAAAGACGTTAACTTTCAAGTTTCAACAGAACTAAACCGGAAAGAATCAAGCTTTAATTAGCTAGTACTATTTGTTAATTTTTCTTTTTTAAATTTTTTGGGCAACCAAAAGGGTTAGAAAATATTAAAGTTATTATTTGTTGTTTAATATTCTGTTGATATTTCTTAAATTTGCCCTTTGTTGAGCTTAATGAAATTCAATGTTGTATAGGCTAGTTAAGTTGGTACATCAGGTTTTGGTACAGCTAAGGACATGATATGGATACAGGACTCTTTATTAAGTGCGCATCTTTTGGAAAGAAATGAGCATTGTAGTTCATAGAACTCCCAAATCGGGGAGACAATCATTGTTTTTCCAAGACTTGGCATCACCTGTCTCTGCCCGGAGAGGCAAATTCTCTAGTCCAGGTCAAGCAGCAGCTGTCTCAGCTTTATGGCATGAGAATTTCGGAGGTTCGGATCTTCCACCTCCTCCTATGTATACCATGGAGGACCGTTCAGATTTGTCTCCTGAATCTGGGATGCTGGATTATCCTATGTCTCCTGAAATCAAGTCAGACCCAAGAACACCGGTCCAAAGTTCTGGACATGACTTCTCAACTCCAGCAAAGAGCAAGTCAGGGGCTAGCACTTCATTTGGCGTACTTAGTGGGCAGCATAATCAGCAGAGCCCAACGAGTTTGAGTTGGTGGTCACCCACAAAGGCAAGTGGTAGCGAGCAGGATGACAAGGGAAGGGGTTCTCCTGTTGAGGGTGTAGTTCAGCCTGGTGCTTTGATCACACTTCTGCCTCCAAGGGAAGTTGCTAGGCCAGAAACACAAAGGAATTCCATACCTGCAGGAAATCTGGATGAGGAAGAATGGGTTACTGTTTATGGGTACGCTCCATACTTTCGTGTTCTAATTAATAGTTGATATGTTTGTCTTGTGGTTTTCTGACTATCAGTTGTGTTTCATCTGTTGTATGGACACCTCATTTTGCTGGAGTAACTTTTGCTTTTATTATTTCACCGGTCACTTCTCTGCGTTTAAGGTCCCATTTTATTGTTTTCAATTTGCCGAAGTTTTCCGGATGTTATCTGCTTAAATGTTTTGGATAATTGGTAGTGTGGTTTCATCTAATTTGTTTGTCAACAAATACGCATCTTTCATTGTTTCTTGGGTACTGTTGTCTGATCCACCATTTGCAATCTGTAACGTTCTGATAACCAGGCAGTGATTTTAACTTTTTTCCCTCAGTGATTGCGGTCATCTCTCCATGTTTCTCTGTTTTAGTAAAACAAAGTGTTGGACCTAAACATCTGGGTTAAACTAATGAAGTGATCTTGCTCATTTATGTATGCAAGACCTAGACTTAATTATTTGTTTTCTTTCCAGATTTTCTCCTGCTGATACAAATTTAGTTTTGCGAGAGTTTGAAAAGTGTGGTGTGATATTGAAGCATGTTCCTGGTCCAAGGGATGCTAACTGGATGCACATTCTTTATCTGGTGAATCTTCTCTCCTGTGCTCCCAATTTGTATCTGTTAATGCTCTTTCATGATAAGTATTGATGTGCTCTAGTTATCTATCATTTTGGTTCCTTTTTGCAGATCTTTTGTTATTCATTTCATTTTCTTTATTTGTTGCGTGCTATCCTTGCTTGCTAAAAAGATATGTAATCCTAATGAAGATAAAAATGGTACTCCAGTTGGAGATTAATATAAAAAAAGTTGACTGAAAAGTAGATTGCTGTTTTTGATAACCATGATCTTTGTAACCTTTCTAGGTTGTAAAACATTGGTTGAATTATAAACCTATATCACCTTGCTCAAGCTGGAATCTTATAGGCTAAATATCTCAATGGATTTTTCTGAAACCCAAACCTGATAAAATTTTTGCTTGTTGACAGATGGGCTGTGATCTTTTGATCTGATCCATATATGTTTTTAGTTTGGCGTCTAAAATGTGTTTTTTTTTGCATCTTGGCTTTTGTTATCCCTTTTGGGCCCAATGGCTGATAACCTTTTTTTTTTTAAAATTTTTTTTATGTACTTTCTGAAATATGTGCAGTTGTATGTGAAAGTCTTGAGGATTAGCTAAATTAAAAAGGAAATGTATGATTTTTTTATTTTCTTGATGAAATCATAAGCAATACATGGCAATGATTGCTTTCTATTTGCTGCAGAATCGATCTGATGCTCAGAGGGCTCTCAGCAAGAATAGAATGCAAATTAATGGAGCACTAATTGTTGGTGTGAAGCCGGTGGATCCAATGCAACGCGAGGCTTTAAATGAAAGATTGAATAATCAGGGATTCATGACTTTACCCCCACCATCAAGTAGAACGTCAGAGCCGAGCAATTTCCAACCCTCTCGCCCTCACTATCTTAAAAATGGTAACACTAATGCACGGCAGTCAGGAGGTGCTATTGCAAACCCTACAAAATCACTAGGGACCAAAGTCATGGAGTTGTTGTTTGGATATTAGGAAGAGCTGTTTCATTCACCCGCCTGCCTTGTGCTATTTCATTATTGTGTGACAGTGTTCCTTCCAGATATATTCATGAAGGGGATTGAGAGTTTCAATTTACTGAGAGTTCCAGTATGTCTCGCTTGAATGAGCAAAATTTTTTTTTTAATTTAACATTACAGGATTTGAATTTTGATTATTAAATTAAAAATTTAATATTTTATCAACAATTCACGTGATTATTGACAACCAGTAATTTCCCCTATGATGGAAAGTTTATATGGTTTACTTGCAATTACGATTGTATAAGACTAAATGAAATTTATGAAAAATCATGGTGAAAATTAGCTCTTTTTTTTTTCTTACTCCATAAACTTGAATTTGGATAAGAAGTTTTTTTTAATATTGTAGTTGCAATACACATCATAGTTTTGGAGTATATAGAACCATGATTGCCTACTTCAACTAACTATTGGCTACCATCAGACAGAACAGTGGTATACTAGGATACTACCTCAAATGTTTGTCTCATAATTTATTAGCTGTGGAATCATAAAAATCTACTTAACAAAAACTGACGGCAGTCGCTCAGTTCTTATTTTAGGTAAAAGCCTCAATTCAAGTCAATAAGTAGTAGCAAAATTAAATAATTAATTAATTATATAAAAAATAATAATTTAATGTAATTTAATTTAATATCAATTAATTATAAAAAATTATAAATATATAATTTCAATCAATCAGTTATAAGTATACTAACTTCACTATCAATTTTTTTTTTCACTTAAAATTCTTTTTCTGCAAATGTTATTGTCCATGAAATAATATTTAACTTATTTCTAAAGAATTTTAAACATATCTCTTAAGGATTTCAATCAATCTTAAATATCACAATCCATCGGTTTGAGTGTCAACCGATCCTCAAAACGAACACACGACCAACAATGAATGAGAAGACTGTCTTCCTTCCAACATGGGATTTAATGTTCTATATCTCCTTATCATAAAGACATGTTAAAGACATGTTAAGTGTCCATCTTGTTGTCCTTTACATATGTAACTTGTTATTGAAATTTCCTCTTTCTGCTGAGTTACATGCTTTTTAGCTTTAGTCTCATAAATGTCATATTTATTGTGAAAATTTGGCTTTATTTGGATTTATTGATCCAAATATTTTAAATTCTATAAATGAGATTAAATTATTATTTTTATTTAATAATAATAATTAATTAATTAATTAATTTTCATGAAATTTATGTAGAATAATTGTCCTGATAAATCAATAAAGCAAATTTTCTGGGAGAAGCCGACGACATATATAAGAAAGGTTAAGTCAGAGGTGATGTTGGTAAGCCAGAATAACATTGTCTCCGTTTCTGAGGCAAACTGTGATCTCATTAAAGTCTGAACGCAGCAGCATGCAGTATGATTGGAGGATTTATTATTTCCCATATCCAAAATTAGCTCATCTTCTAGTTCTAGGAATCAGGGAAAATTATTTATGTAATACATTCACGAAGCAAAAAAAAAAAGCCAGAAATTCGACTGACATGTATTTGGACCTTTCCGATATTGAGAGTTGACTCTTGATGCCATATCCATGCTTTCGAGGAATATTATTGCGAGAACAAATTGTCTCACGGTGCCCTACTTTGTAAAGAAAGAAAGAAACACGAGACACAACCGGATCATAATAATTGTCGTGTTGCAATAAGGCAGATGATTTTTGTCTCAAAGGGGTTGCATTTGTAAAAAGCTAGTATGATTTGGTGTTTTCTCTCTTATTTTCTTCTTTTCCTCTTTGAAAAACGAGGGTGTGGTTGTTCTGGGTCTATATCCTTTGGGGAATCATTGATTCAAATTTCTAAAATTGGAACGCTCTCCTTTCAGAATGGTCAAACTCAAGCAAGAATTATCTGTTGTTTGTTACAACTTACAATCTCCTGTTTGGAGCTGCAATTGCTATTATCCTACTGAGTCCATTTTTAAGTTCATAATGTACATATGCATTTTGAATGGTTATAGATGTTCATAAATATATTTTCCATAGCCAATAGTCATCCAACGATAGTGGCCAAAATCAAATAAAACAGAGAAGTTGGTCCTGAAAAGGATCGATTAACTTAAACGAATTTAGAATATAGCAAAATAGCAAGACCGTGTTTATTTCCTGTTTACAAACAGCACTAGCTAACCTAGCACTACCAAAATTTCATCAACAAAACTAGCTAAATCATATACTAGTACATTTAGGACGATGATGAATTTTAATGCCTGAAGAGCCAAATTGCATCCTGAAGAGCAGAAGCAGCGTACAGGACACAGCTGAAGAAAGTGAAGGCTATTGAAACTGCAACATGATCGCAGAAGCTATCCAGAGACTTACAAAAATTTGGCAGAGCGGTGTGTCTGATTCCTGTTCGATTCAGGTTGGTTACCCCTGATGCTGCTGATCCAGCACTCATCATCGCATAAGCCAATATCTGCCAGCAACAGATTAAGGTAATTTGCAAATAGTCAAATTCTCATCATATTTGGGAAAATCACATTAATTAACTGATCCCCAGCAAAAATAAGCCAAGCTTGATTTCTTGAGGGAATCACTGGAGACTTCCTCACCAACCTTGACATGCCAATGAGTAATTGCAGCAAGGAGTAACCTGCAGCAGCTGCAGTAACTCCAACAAGATATCTGTTCGATCACCAAATAAACACAGAATTCAACAAAAATTAGTCAACAGTCATGTTAAAGAGTCAAGTTTCCACATTTTCCATGCCCTGAAAATCTCTTGGTTAAAACTGATTTGGAGAGATTCAAAATGTGGAGATCCAGAAAAGTTAATAAAGAAAACAAAGAGAATAACCAAATAAATTAAAGCAGATATTAAAATGGAAAATAAACACTCACGGGTCTGACTCTGTTCATAGAGAGACATAGGAATTCTCCTCCAAACTTTGTTGCTATTCAAGGAAGCACCAAACCGAACATGCAAATAGCAAACAAACAAAACTCCGCACTTTACCTCATAAAAGTTGGTCAAAAAAGATCATAAAACCCACAATTTAAGGGCTTTTAGTCGATGGAAATGCCAAAATTGTATCATGAACACTCTATTGTGCTGTGTTTGAGACATGTAAGAAGCAAAAGAAATTTTTTTATAATTCACAAAATAATAATTGTAGCTTAATTGTATGAGTTAATTGGTTCCTATAATGAATGTCTTGATTTGATATTCTAAACCTATGCAAAAGACAGAAAAGGAACCGAATTATTTTATGATATTAATCTCAGCATGCAAAGCATTATTAAAATCTTAAAAAAATGCCAAGTACTTGGATACATTACATTTTCTATAACACAAGAAAACAAGTAGTACATTCCTTCGGTCGGTGAGAAAAAATGGAATAGAAAACAAATGAAATGAAAAAGATGAAAAAAGTAACCGAAAGATCAAAGCGTCACACAATAAACAGGTAATCGTTAGGTGAGGGTGAGCTCCACTTTTTCTTCCATTTTCCTTCACTTTCTCAGCAACCAAACAAAACACAACACCATACAAAAAATAAAATAGTAAAAACAACATAGCAGTTATATCGGGCATAGCTAAACAGTGAGGTTATTAATAATAGTAATTTCGATCTAGGAAGAAGAATGAAGGAGCACGGAAGGGTATGGTACTTACTCGAAGGAGTAAGAGAAAGACCATTTAGAGTGGAGCTGGAGCTGGAACCCGTAGAAGGAAGCAGTGCTAACCTGACGGGCTGTGACCATGAACGACATGGCTGTAACCGAAACAGCCATGCACTACGGGATGCAGTGCTAACCTGACGGGCTGTGACCATGAACGACATGGCTGTAACCGAAACAGCCATGCACAACAGCCTGAGGGTCACCAGCACCACGTCCCCTCTCGTCCAGACTCCTGTTTTGGACCCTATCCCTACGTTCAACCTAAACCTCACACGGTTTTCACTCTGTCTGTTCTCCACCACCTTTTCCTCCGTCAGCTGCAACGAGAACGTAGATGGTGGTGGTGGTGGTGTTTTATGGTCATTCATCATCATTTCCAAAGCTCTAACTTTTTCTGAGATTCGGATTATATATATATATATATGTTTCCTGTTGTCTCTCTCAAGTCTCAAGATCGTTGGACATGGTATGAAGGTGGATGAGGAAGGGGGTTTTTAAAGGGAAAGCGGGGGCGTATATTTTACTGTCACTACAGTAATCGAGGCTTTGCTCGTCACACACCCGCACAGGAGGCGACTCTTCATTGGAATTGGAGCCCCCCTTTCCCCCCCGCTGGAAATTTTGAAATATATTATTTTCTCAATAATTTTTAAGCTTTTTTTATAAATAAATTAGTTAACCCCTCAACTCTAAATTATTGTGTTCATATTCATAATACTTTTTTGTAAAAATTATTATTATTATTAGTTAGTTTGGTATATAGGGTCAAAGTTGAAGGAAAATTTAAAACAAGGAATTTGTAAATATTAGAGATCAAATCTAGTTTTTTCAAATGAATTATTTGAATTAAGTTTAGGTTTATAAAAATTATTATTATTATTATTATTATAGTGCCTATTTCTTATCTCTTTTGAAAAGGAGTTGTAAATAGGATTGTAAACTTATTATTTCTCATCTCAAAATCATTATCTCTTATTAATTTTTTTTTTTGGGTCAATTAACTTAACATTGTGTATTATTTTTAATGAAATTATAGAATTTTAAAATAAAATTTGTAAATTTTGAATTTTAAATTTTTTAAAACATATTTTTAAAAATTTTAATTCAATATAATATTTAAAAAATCAAGATTTGTCTTAAAAAAAGAATAAAATTATTTTTAAAAGAATTTATATTTGATACACAATATATAAAATTTATATACTGTTAATAAATTAGGTGATATCATATCATGAATGAAATGAATCAGATTATGTCATCTTATTATTAAATAAATTTTTTAAAAAATATTAATTTTTATACATTTATTTTAAAAATTGATATTTACTAATTTTTGATATGATATAATTAAATTTATTAATAATATATAAAATTTATATCCTAATAATTTATAAAATATATACCTTTTTAAAAAAGTAATATAAAATAAGATGTTGCGCCTGAAGCAATAATCACAACAATACAGAAGCAATAGACAACAATCAATAATCAAATGCGTAGGAAAAATAAAGCACACCAAGATTTACGTGGAAAATCCTCCAGTGTAGAGGGAAAAAATCACGGGCCACCAAAAAAATCTTCACTATCAAATAATAGTTATACAAAGTTCTTCTCTAGCTAAAACTAGAGCTAATCAACAACTAGAGAAACAATTGGAGAAATTTCACCAAATAAGTGACTCAACAAATACACCCTGAATTTGTTCCTAGAGAGTTTCAAACCCGATCTTCACCGTTCAGAATATAGAACTCTGAATCATAAACCTCTTGATAAGGTTCCAACTCAATCGGACCACGGATTGACTTCCGTTCAACCAACTCTCCCTTCTCTTTTTTTTCTCTCTGCTTTTCCTGGCTTTTCTTCTTTCTCTGCTTGGTTTTCGACATACACCTAAAACAACCCCACCTCTTTTTTATTAAGTAGCTAGGGCTCTGTGTAAAATAAAAGATCAAGGCCATGGCCTTTACTTGGTCCAAAACCACTTACATGGGACTGGACCTCATTTTCCTAACAATCTCCCCCTCCAGTCCCATTAGAAGGAGATTCATCACCATAGCAATTTCATTTGGAACTTACCTTGGCCAGGGAACTCATTCCGGTCAAGTTACTGCAAAGTTCAAGCTTTTCCCTGAGAAGTATCTTAGTCAACATATCTGCTACATTCTTATCAGTATGGACTTTCTTCAATAACATCTACTGTTCTTCAATCACTGAACATAACCAATGATATCTAACATCAATGTGCTTTGTTCTAGCATGGTACATGGTATTCTTACTCAAATCTAAAGTACTCTGGCTATCACAAAATACCACATACTCTTTCTGATTCAACCCCAATTCAAAAAGAAAACGTTTCATCCAAAGCATTTCTTTACATGCTTCAGTTGCTGCAATATACTCAGCTTCTGTAGTTGATAAAGCAACACACTTCTGTAACTTAGACTGCCAAGATACAGCTCCTCTTGTAAAAGTGAACAAATACCCTGAAGTAGATTTTCTACCATCAAGATCGCCTGCCATGTCAGCATCAGTAAACCCTTCTAGAATTGGTTGTGAAACTCCATAAGTCAAGCATATTTTTGAGGTACCCCTCAAATATATAAAAAATCCATTTTACTGCTTCCCAGTGAACCTTTCCTGGATTAGAAAGAAATTTGCTCACTACACCAACTGCATGAGCAATGTCAGGCCTTGTACAAACCATAAGATATATTAAAGAACCGACTGCAGAAGAATAAGAAATACTAGACATAGCTAGTTGCTCTTCCTTAGACACTGGATAAGATTTCTTACTTAGATGAAAATGGTTGGCAAGTGAACTGCTAACTGATTTAGCATGTTGCATGTTGAATCTACCAAGCACTCGTTCAACATATTTTTCCTGTGACAACCACAGCTTTTCAGCTCTCCTATCCCAGATAATGTCCATACCAAGGATTTGCTTTGCTGGACCTAAATCATTTATATCAAAAGACTTAGACAATTGTTCTTTCAACCTGCAAACCATACTAGCATCTTGTCCTACAATCAACATATCATCAACATATAATAATAAGATAATGAAGTTATCATTAAGAAATTGTTTAACATACACACAAGAATCCGCTGCTATTCTTTTATAGCTATGACTCACCATAAAGGAATCAAACTTCTTGTACCACTGTCGCAGAGCTTGTTTCAAGCCATACAAGCTTTTCTTCAATTTGTAAACTAAGTGCTCTTTTCCTTTCACTTCAAAACCCTCAGGCTGATTTATATAAATGTCCTCTTGTAAATCACTATGCAAAAATACAGTTTTAACATCAAGTTGCTCAAGTTCAAGATTTAAACTAGCTGTCAATCCCAGTACCACTCGAATAGAACTCATTTTTACAACTGGAGTAAAAATCTCATCAAAATCAATGCCTGGTTTCTGAGAAAAACCTTTTACTACCAATTGAGCTTTGTACCTCACTAGTTTGTCACCATCTTTTTTTAACTTGAACACCCATTTATTCTTTAATGGCCTCTTCCATGTTGGAAGTTTAACAAGATCATAAGTACCATTCTTTCGCAATGACTCCATCTCTTCTTTCATTACTTTTAACCAGTGCTCTCTATCCGGAGTAGCCTACACATCTTGAAAGCTTTCTGGCTCCCATTCACTGGTAACTAAAATAAAATCTGAACTTGGATACCTGGTAGATGGCCTGCGTTCTCTAGTAGATCTCTTGGGCTGAGACTCTACATCACTTGATGCTGAAGGTAGCTCCCCCTGCTCAACACTCTCAGGTAGAGAAGATTGCTCCCCATACTCAAAACTAATAGCATCTGGCTCATCACCAACTGTGGCTGGCTCATTCATATCCCCAAGTTCTGTTTCTTTCTCATTTTCACCATCTGTGGCTCTTTCTTGTGAAATCCCTGTCGGTGTTGAAACATCACACTCAACAGTAACTCGTGTAGTCTTCTCATTTTTTTCAAGGTCTGCTATGGTTTCTTTTTCATGAAAGACCACATCTCTGCTTCTGACTGTCTTTCTCTTTACTGGATTTCATACCCTGTAGCCAAATTCCTCATCATCATATCCTACAAACACACACTGTGTAGCTTTACTGTCAAGCTTTGACCTCTGCTCTTTTGGCACATGCATGAATGCTTTACACCCAAAAGCTTTCAAGTGAGAGTATGAAGTATCTTTTTCTGTCCACACTCTTTCTGGAATGTCAAAGCCCAAAGGAACTGATGGTGACCTGTTAAGTAAATAACAAGCTGTGTTGACTGCTTCACCTCAGAATGGCTTTGGTAATTTTGCCATCCTCAACATACATCTGATTTTTTCCACAATGGTGCGATTCATTCTTTCAGCTATACCATTATGCTGCGGTGTTTCAGGTTCTGTCCTCTCATGCCTGATCCCATGCTTTGAGCAATACTCTTCAAAGCCTTTAGATGTGTATTCCCCACCATTATCAGTTTGAATACACTTCAAGGGTAACCCTGTCATCTTTTCAACCATGGCATGAAATTTTTAAAAATATTGCAGTACCTGACTTTTATATTTCAACATATACACCCAAGTCTTACGTGAAGCATTATCAATAAAAGTAACAAAATATCTGCTACCACCTAATGACTCAACCTCAATGGGACCATATACATCAGAATAAATTAATTCTAATCTATTTTCTTTTCTCTGAGAACTTTTACGAAAAGAAACTCTATGATGCTTACCAAACAAACAATAATCACATGAATCGAGAGACATACCTTTGGTCAAGGGAATGAGAGAGTGCCTTGCCAAAACCTGTAACCCTTTTTCACTCATGTGTGCCAGCCTCCTGTGCCACAAGTTTGTTGAAGCATCATTTTCAACGGTATTTACTTGGTTACCGGTTAATTGCATCCATGTCTTATACATTGTGCAACATAGTTTTTCCCTTGCAACTACCATAGATCCTTTGAGAAGCTTCCACTGTCCATTCTTTTGTCGGCTTTCATATCTCTCCTTATCAAGGACATTTATAGCAAGCAAGTTCATTCTCATATCTGGAATGTGTCTGATATCCCTCAAAGTCAACATGCAACCTATACTAGTTTGTACAATAATATCACCAATCCCAACAATCTGCGACACACTCTTGTTTTCCATCTTGGTACAACCAAAGTCTCCTGCTTTGTAAGTTATAAACAACTCTCTCTTAGGAACACAATGATATGTGGCTCCTGTGTCAACTATCCACTCAATGTCGGGATCACTAATATGATTGCAATCACCATGTGTACAAATCAAAGTAACTGAATCACTATATGAATTCACTGCTGTAACATTGCTATCATCTGAACTCTTGCCTTTCTCATCTTTTTGCTCTTGCTTTAAGATTCTACAGTTTCGTTTTATATGACCCGCCTTACCACAATGGAAACACTTCACTTTACCTTTAGACTTGGATCTATGTTTAGACTTACAAGTT